ACCCATGTGCTTTACAAACGCAATTTTTCAACCCAAAAATATATTTGTATTAAAAACTAGATCACAATATGTGCAATTAATTTTCGCGACATACAGTAATGAATGCATCATGGGCCAACTGCAGAATCGACCACTATCTCCTCGATCTGTAAAAATATTTATTAAATGATACATATAACAATGAGTTAGTACTGCTCTAGTTTAGCTTCAGTAGCAGGTGACAGGAATAAAATATATTTTAAAAGCTAAAAATGGAAGATAAGATTTGCCCACATAATTCATATAATTTATAAACAGAAACCAAAGACCCAGAAAACAAATACAGATAAAGAAGAAACAATCAAACCTGAAATACAAGAAAAAGGAAAGACCAATTGAAGAAACAGAAAGGGAAATGAACGAACTGAAAACGGTACTTTTTAAAATCATTTCACCATATTAATTCACAAAACGCCAATGGAATTTATGAAGAAATACCAGAAACAAAGACTGAGAAATATAGCGTCGAAAATCAAACTGACCAAAGAGATCCAGCAAGAAATTGAAAGCAAAGAAATACCTTCAGAGATGGCGCTTTGAATTTCAGCGCATTTAAGAACAACGTTATGGTCATTGAGACCTTCCTCTTCCTCAATGAGGTAATCACTGTACCCGTTCTTCCCATTACCGCTGCCGCTGTTATTGTTGGCCGAGTCCCTCCCCGGCGACAACTTCACTTGAGAAACGAGCGCCCACTGTAGCAGCGCAAAAGCGATCCCAACGACGGCGCAGGCCGGGATCAGGATCTCGGTGCCGAGATCTGGCAGAAGAGCTGCCCCCATGAGTAGAAAGCGGTGAAACGGAAGTTACGAGCGGTAGGGGAGAGTACCAGTGGAGGGTTTGAGGCGAAGAGAAAATGAAGGTGGAGACGGTTTATATATAGGGAATAGGAGGTTGGCGTGGCAAGGTGGGAATTAGTGAAAAGTTAATACTTAATACAGAGGACGCGAGATGCGTGTTGTACTGTATGGGGATGGTAGTTATTACAACTTATAAGACAGAAGATTTGCTTGGCTGGGCCAAGGGGAGGTCGGTGAGAGAAACGTGTGAGTTAGCAGTTCTTCTAGTTTACAGCTAAGAGCTAACTTCTGACTGCTTAACAAAAAAGAGGTTTTAATATAGTATAAAAGAAGAAAATTAAAAATTAGGAAAAAACAACTCCTTTATATAACTCATTTTGTTTGAGTTGGACATAATTTTTTATTTAAAATATTTATATTTAATTATTTATTTTTTAAATAGTATTTAATATATTTATTTTAAAAAATAATTATAACGTATATCAAATAAAAATTTTTATCTAAGTAATATTTAATTAAAAATAAATATCAAATTTTATTAATAAATTATTATATTTTTATTTTATTATATAAAAAAATAATAATCCTATTAAAAATGAACAGATGGCTGCTACCATGAAAGGAAGAAAGGCTTAATGCCGCTGAAAACCTTCCTATTTTCGAAAATAAGTCATTGTTATCTTTTCTTTTCTTTTTTTTGGATAAAACATTGTTATCTTTTTACGTGCTTGAACAAAATTTATAAAATCCCCTAGAAGGGAAGCATCATTGCCTTCGCAGCCGGGGTTATAACACCTCCATCGGCTAATATCCGAGAAAAAAGGATGTAAATAAAAATTTAATTTTTTATTTTTATTTAAAAATGGTAATTTTATTAATTTTTAAATAAAAATATTAATTTTTTATTTTTTAATTAAATATATTAATTTTCAATCTTTTCTATTAAAAAATATTAATTTTATATTTTTCTATTTAATGATTAATTGATAGTAATATTAATATAGCAAATACATTTTAAAAAAAAAACTTAACATCTATAAATAAAAAAATAAAAAATTAACATTCTTAAATAAAAAATTAAAAGTTAACATTTTTATTTAGAAACTGACAAAATTAATATTTTTAAATAAAAAAATAAAGTTAACATTCTTATTTATACCCTCCAAATTTAAATGGTAACATTATTAGTCCCTCAACTTTTAATTATTATGCATTTTAATACTTAAACTTTAATTTCATCCCTATTTCCCTAAACATTTTAAAGAATTACACTTTAAGACCCAAATTTTTTTAGGTTTCGTGTATTTCTTCTTTTTTTTTTTTTGGCACAAATAATAAAAATTATGTCAAACTCAATAGAATCTCATTCTATTTATCCAATAGAAATCAAATAAACTTAAAATTAGACCTGGCAAACAGGTCAAATTGAGTGTGTTCAGATTGGGTTATTTTGGATCTCGGGTTGTTTGGATTGGGTTATTTCAAGTGTCAGGTTAAAGAGCTTGACCCATAATCCATCCACACGGGTCTCGGATTGGGTCAGGTGGATCCAACTTTTAAAAAATTTCTCTATTTTTCTTTAATAAAATCTAATACTAATTAACTATTTAGTTAAAAAAATTATATTACTAATTAACTACTTAGTTAGAAAACTTTATTAAACGTTAATTTCCATTTCATAATTCAATTTTTTTCAAATCTCAATAAAAGAAAAGGAAAAAATTAGTGATTATATAGGTGAAACTAAAATATATGTCAAATATGTAATACCTATACAATATTTAGAATTTATAATTTTATAAAGGTATTAACCTTCATTAAAAGAAAAGATATAAAGGATTAGAGTTCAAAAGATAAATCCAATATATATATATTAATATCTAGTACCTATTCAATATTTATAAGAGTATTATATAAAAAATACAATTCTATTCAATACTTAGAATGACATTATACAAGAGATATAGCCCTATTCAATATTAAAGTTTAAAAGGTAAATTCAAAATATGTCTAACCAAATACAAGAAAAATTTGGATCGGAGTTGATTTTTATTAATTAAGAACAAATTATTAATTAAGAACAAATTAGCAACTAAGAACAAATTAACAACTAAAAACGAACCTTAATGTTCTTGATATTCTTGTCTTTGTACTTTTAATTGTTATGAGGGTATCTCAACCACTGCATTTTGATTTTTAATAGGTATTCTTGCTTCTTTTTAAAAAAAAAAAATGATTTTTTTTTACGATGTCATATGATATAACTCACTATGTGCCACTTAATCTAATTTTTGACACAAGTGCCACCAAGGAGAAGGATTAGAGAGCTTGAGATGAAGGGGAAAGCGAGAGTGGAGAAGAGGAAAAGTTGAGAGGAAATGAAATTGACGAGAGGTTAGGGTTTGAGTATTTTATTTATTTTTATTTTTAGGATTATGAAATTAAAAATTTAACATTAATTTTTAAGTAATTTAATAAAAACAAATAAAAAAAGTTCAGGTCATTTCGAGTGACCTAATCCACCCATGACCCAATCCATTTGGATTCGGATAATTTCAGTTTGGGTTATTTCGGATTTCGGATTAACACATAAAACCCATGATCCTACCTATAATGGATGGGTTGGGTCGGATTTTTAGATTGGGTCCAATTTTGCAAGATCTAGCTAAAATTGATCATTATCATTTTTATTTTATCTTATTTTGTGTATAAATAATACTTTCTTGAGTATTGTTAGTAGAATTTTGTAGAAATAGGTGTTGAATTGTTATTGTTGTAGATAGGGAGATGATAAAAGAAAGAAGAAGGATCAAAATGTCAGAAGTTGAAAAGTTCAAATCACAATTTAAAGCTCAATGGACTAAATGAAGATTAAATAAATATAGAGATCAAATCATCAAAATCTAGAAAGTTGAGCTTCAAACAGCAATTTGGCCATTTGAAGTGAGAATTGATTTTTTTTTTCCCCTTTTGCTGACGTGAGTTGCGATGGGAGTTCACAGGGCACCCCCATTGACTATTTTAAGGGCATCGACATATAGATAAATTTTTGGTACAATTATTTATATCACTTCTGTGTGGTTTGCTTTGAAATATAAATTCTTTAAATTAATCCAATTTAATAATTAGTAAAATTTTTAAACAAATTTAATCTATTATTAGATGATAATTAAATTTATTTAACTTAAATCAAATCAATGTAATTTAGTCAAATTAATTAGTTTTTAACACTATTAAAAATATGAAATAATATAAAAAATTTTAATATTAAGTAAAAAAATATAATTGTAGAACACATTAATATATAAATCAGTAGAAATATAATTAAAAACAATACAAATTATAAATAAATTCTTATATTCTTTTACAATTGAAAAGATCTAAAAACTCTTTTTGACTATATACCATAGGCACAATAAATAATAAAATATGACTCTAAATTTCAAAATAGTGCCAGTAATTTTTAAATATTAAATTTAGTTTTTTTTTCATAATGCACCAATACCTTAATCTTATCTTCCAAACCCTATTAAAGTGAATAAAATTTAAAATAAATATCACTAGAATTAATTAGAAGCATTTATAATCAATATTTGGATTTAAAATTCCTGATCTAAATATTCAAGAATAGTAAAATATTAAGATTAGTTTTATTATAAAGTTTTAAGATTTCTTGAATGATATTTCTTTCAAAGTTAAGTAAGAAATTCATAATATCATTTTAGAAACAAATTAAAAATTTAGGGTTTTGAAAGTAGAGTTGCAAATCAATTTTGAAGTATAGAGTTGCAAAATCAATTTTGAAGTATAAAGTTGCAAATAAATTAAAATTTTAAAAGTAGGCCTAGAGTGCGTGATTAAAAAAGAAAAATAAATTAGGAAATATCATAATACCCTATTTTTATTTTTTAATTAATTTCATGAAGTTGTTATCTTATGAAATAAGAAAAAGAAATTTTAAAATACTATAAAAATATATATTATATTATTTAATTAAGTTATCTTGTAATTGAGTTTCATTTTATAATTGAGTGGTTCAAACAGTTTAAAAGTAAACTCACAAACTAAACTAATTATATTGATTTTAAAATTTTATAATTTAAATCAATCCAATTTTATATCAATTTGGTTTGGTTTTTAATTAGACTAGATTAGTTTGGATTAAAACAATCGAATTAGATCAGATATAAATATCTCTATTTTTACATGTTATTAAATGAATAAATACACTTAATATTATGAGTTTTAAATAAATAAAAAGAATTAATTATTTAAATAATATGTAAAACTAAATAAAAATATTATTTCTGAATTATTGTCTTGTTAACTAATTATTAATTCTATTAGTTGATTGTTAGCTGACTGTTAACACTCTTAGCTGACTGTTAACTCTCTTAACTAACTATTAGCATTCTATTATAAAAAACATGAAATTTAAATTTAATTTTATTTGTTAGTTCCGTTAACAAAATGTTAACAATCATTCATCAAAAACAAAATGTTAACAATCAACTAATAGAGTTAATAGTCTGTTAAGAGAATTAACAATCAACTAATAGAACTAATAGTCAGTTAACAGAACTAATAATCAACTAATAGAACTAATAAAATGTTATAACTTAACGTTAAATAAGGGTTATTTTTTTCAATTCGTATAGATGAGGAGCAAAAAATGTCATAGTATAAGATGAGAGGTTAATACTTATAAATTTATCAAGATTAAAGACTAAAAATAGGTTAAATGCTAAATTTGGTCCCTTAACTTTACGAAATGAACATTTTTGATCCCTCAACAAATTTTTGCACTTTTTTGATACCTCAACTATACAAAATGCACTCCGTTAGTCATTTTGTTAATTTGGGCCGTTAACTCGCTTATGTGGCATTTTTTATAATTTTTTTATGACGTGGCAAAAATAAATTAAAAACGTGTCCACCTAAAATTTTTTTTTATTACAACTCATGCCAACTCAGATTATTATTATTTATATTTTTAAAAAATAAAATAAAATATTTCTATTCCATCTTCTTCCTTTCTTTTTTTCT